GATGGATGACCCCCGAAACCCACAGTTATCCAACGGATGACGGGTATTCTAGTAACTACTAAAATCTGAAATGTTTTACGTGCTGGTTTTGTGGAAAACCCTTGTAGATAATTTATCATCATCATCATCATTTCCTTTGTGGCCCCCGGGGAGCAAAGGGCTGCAACCACACATCTCCATCGGACTCGGTTTTGGGCTGCCCCCCTTTATCTGTGCCCATGTGTGCCCAGCTGTTTTCACCTCTTCTTCAAACGTTCTTCTCCATGTCTTCCTTGGCCGGCCCACCCTCCTTTTTCCCTGGGGATTCCAGTCTAATTTGCATTCCTTGCTATGTTTTCTTCTTCTTTTCTTAATGTGTGTCCGATCCATCCCCATTTACGGGCCTTGATATCTTTCTCTATTGGCTGTTGCTTTAAAATTTGCCACAGGTCTTTGTTTGATATTTTGTCTGGCCATCTTATTTTAAGTATATGTCGTAGGCATTTGTTTACGAATGCCTGTAGCTTATCAGTATTTGTCTTCTTGACCCTCCAAGTCTCCGAGCCATAGAGCAGCACTGCCTTGACATTTGTTTGTAGATAATTAGAGCGGAAAATTACGTGTGATAAGAGACCAGCTTATTATGCTACTATGTACTTGTGGTCATTCTCTGCTAGCATCGTTTTTGTGCGCAATTTTCGGTGGCTGATATTTCTGACCACCAAGTCTATATCCAGCAGGGAAACAAAGTTTTAGGGGTCCAATTGTTAGGAATAGATGCTTCGGTGTACGAACATAATCCATCGTATCCACGTACTTAAGCAAGACGAAATACGTTTTCTTATAGATTTACAGGGTATAATACACTCATACATTTTTTGGATAGTTTTGTGACCGTGATATCTAAACACTTGGAACTGTAAATTGAAAATAAATACACGACTGTAAAAAGATTTTTAAAAAAGCAAGGCGATTTAAAGCTTGGTAAGGAGCTGTTGTCGATGATTCATAACAATCAAACAGAAAATCCGAATTGGATGCATATTATCGAAAAAATGTCTAATGCCTGTCTAAACCACTTTTGCGGCGCTAAGACTACAGACATTAGACTTGTCAGAGTTTCAGCGGACATAAGACTTGTATAAGACTTGTCAGAGTTTCAGCAGCGGACATAAGACTTGTATAAGACTTGTCAGAGTTTCAGCAGCGGACATAAGACTTGTATAAGACTTGTCAGAGTTTCAGCAGCGGACATAAGACTTGTATAAGACTTGTCAGAGTTTCAGCAGCCGACATAAGACTTGTATAAGACTTGTCAGAGTTTCAGCAGCGGATATAAGACTTGTATAAGACTTGTCAGAGTTTCAGCGGACATAATACTCGATCCAGTTAGACACTTGAACATCCAGTAAACATTTCCTACCTTTACATTTCAGGTGCCACGTGCTACAACACAGCGACCCCCGGCATCATGTACCAAGATCTACCTGTCCAGTCCAACATCTACACGTTCATGTTTAAAGCCGGGTACAGGATGGATTATAAGAGCACTGCCCTGGCCCTGCTGTACAACGTCGACTCCACCTCTCTATGTGCCCTCTACTGTACACAGTACACAACTTGTACAGCCTTCCTCACCTACACAGCCAGTCAGATCTGTATCCTGTATAACACAACCCTGGCTACCAGGCTACCTACGGGTGTTGCCTATTTCATGAAAACTGCGTAAGTTAGTACCGCTACAACTTTGATCAGTTTTAAAAACGAACTTTCAAAAGTACTGCCTTAAAGTTGTATAACTTAAAAAAGAAATAAATTCCTGACTATATCATCCTGAATTTTTTTAATGCAGTTTTTTTTACTGTTCAATTATTCTCTTATACATTTTAATAAAAACATTTTGCCAATATTATGTAAACCAATTGCTAAATCGTCAAACTCTAATAGCCAAACTAGTAATCTAATTATGGTTTTTTTACGCTTAAACCAAAAGTTTTAAACTAACCCCTGTTCTATCCTTTACACTTATCATAAATCTAGCCATAATTTTAAACTCTTTATTTATAAAATTATGCTAGACTATATGGTTGTGGCATGCAAATAATGACTAAGAACAACCTCCTTCATTCCACAAACTAGAAAACAAAACTATATTTGTTTCTGTGACTATGAAAGCTGTTTATGGAAATCACATTTATTTAGAGAGCATCAATCGTTGCATAGTCATTAGAACTAATTGCGAAACATTGTGCTATGTAGAGAAACAGTGTATGGTAATTTTCAAGATATTAAAAACAAAAACAAATATTAAAACAATCAAAATGACTACTTTTGCCAAAACACTTAAGTTAAAAAAAAACAATACCTATCTTCCAAAAACAAAAAAGAAAACCAGTTTTCTGATATTTGTTTTAATATATATTTTAATTATTACTTAAAAAATTAATATCAAGATGTAGTAGTTTGAGACATTTTAGTAAATGAACGTGTTACTTAATTAAAAAAAAACTAACTGCACGAAGCAGCATACACAATTAAAAATAGTCAGTAATCTAATTAGTCTAAGATAACATTTCCGAAAATTTAAGTCTTGAGTAAATGTAGCTAAACTAATTAAAATCATTTTAAAAAAATCTACCCTCTTTATATCATATACAATAAATAAACTTAAACCATTAAAGGTCAAGAAAATCATCAATTGTAATACATCTACAAAGAACATTTATATTTAGTATGCAGTTTTTAAAATCAGCGAGGGTGAACAGTTTTACTATTTTCAAAATAAGTTAAAGTTAAACATAACATAATGAAGTGTAATCAAAACATGTTAGAAATAGTCTTATTTTCAGGAAAATGATTTGAGTTATCACCAGGTTTTTATTCAAGAGCGAAAATTGTGAGCCCTATATATTCTAATGATATATGGTTTTCAATATTTTACAAAGATAGTAAAAATAAGTCAACGAAAGAATGACTTAAGAAGCCGTCAAACATATAGAACAGTCGTCAAAGCAGTGGAATATAAAATACTTAAAAAAAACTTTTTAAAAAACCACGTTTTTCTTGTGGACTAAAAAGTAGAAAATAACTATTTACATACATTGGATGACAAAAAACGTGGGTACGTTCACCATCAAATTTCCCGACCCATCTGCCCGACCCACGTTTTTTGTCATCAAATGTATGTAAATAGTTATTTTCTACTTTTTAGTCCACAAGAAAAACGTGGTTTTTTAAAAAGTTTTTTTTAAGTATTTTATTTTCTCCTTTTTAGTCCGTTGCTACACATGAAAAACGTGGTTTTTAAAAAAGTTTTTTATATAGTTTATTTTCTACTTTATCTAATGACTTGATTAAGTATGACTTGACTAAGTGTATATAAATACACGGACTAAAAAAATCTTGAGCGACCAGGATTCGAACCTGGGTTGTCGCGGCCACAACGCGAAGTACTAACCACTATACGATCACGGCCAGCGCGCTCACATCGATTGGGGCCGAAGTAACTGTGTCTATAAGCCTCCAGTCTTGTCGGTATCTTTAGAAATCATGTCCTCAATTTTATGGTCCTTTGGGCGTAATTAAATTAAGCTAATTACGGTCTCTAATTGCTAGTTTTTATGATTGCATCTGAAATTGTTAGGCGAAAGTAACCTGCATGCCAAATTTCAGATCTATAGAGCAATCAGAAGTGGGCTAATTTTCGATGTCAATTTTAACAACAAACACATCCACGCGAAGCTGAGTTAATAAAAACGTGTTAAATAAAAATATTACCGATCTTCTCTGAATCTACAAAAAGGCAAGTAATTCTTACAAATAAAAGTAAAAAAATATTTTTTTATAGAATTTTTCTATTACCAAGACTTATGTCAAAGATATGTACCAAGTCCAAAAGTAGATTTTTATCAAATTTTTCTATCAAGTCAAATATAATGTAGCATAGAATAAAAAACTTATAGGTAGGCCTATTTCTGCATATCATAAAAATAACGTATAACACATTCTGTTAGATGCGACACATGCTTAACGCAAAGCTATTAGTCCTATACATGTCAGTTTAAACTACTGCCAACTTTCTATGTAATTTCGTTATTTCATCAAATATTGGTTCTTGTTGATTATCGTCTGACCCCATAACGTCACTGTAGTTTGACAGAGGTATTCATCATAAAACTCTTCAGGCGCTATATTCTTGTGATACTTTTAAAACATAATAATTTTGACAGCGACATATAACTATAAAAACTAAAGAGATAAATAGAAATAAACCGGGAGTGATCTCCCCTAAACTTTCTCGAATATTCTTATATAAAATAACAGGGGATGGGAACTCGGGCTATAGACATGATTTTTAATCCATTTTAAATACTTAAAGTTTTAAAAATAGAATAAAATCTCGTAGACAAATTAATTGCACACCAAGTGAACGCCAAATAAAAAAGCGCATAATAGTGCGCAATATTATTAGTATTTTAAAAATTTACATTAGTTTTTTGAGAAATCGGAAGTAGCGTAAATTACTACTTCCGGTCAACGGAAATTACTCAAAATTTAACAGAAGGTAGAGAATTAGATCCTTTACTTACATGTGAAATTTCATTTATCTATCTGAAATAGTACTCAAGTTATAGGCTTTTGAAAAATTCAAATTAGGAAAAGTACCACTTCCGGTTATCGGAAATCGCTCAAAAGTTGATACGGATTTACGATTTTGATAAAATACTTATATATGAAATTTCATCAACCTAGCTGTAACGGTTCTCAAGTAATCGTGTTTACACACGGACAGACAGACAGACAGGCACACACACACACACAGACACACAGACATACGGACAAGATTGCAAAATTATGTTTTTCCGTATCAGTGAGATGCAAAACGTCGAGATTTGCAAAAATCTCGATTTTTTTTTTTTGCACGATTACAAGACTTTCTCTATACTTCGTATATACGAGAAAGTAAAAAGCTGTAATTAAGAATATTTTTAATCTAAATAGAACTAAGTGGATATCTTTTACAATAATTTTAATCTATTACTGTATGAAAGCAGCGAAACGTTTGCACTACATCTTGATAACATTTTTTGCAAGGTACAGTTATACTTGTGATAAACTATCGTCTTGGCTAAAAGAGTCCTGTTTGTCCGAGCTACTGAAATACGTTTGAAAGAGATAATCGTTAAGAACAGGATAATCTTCTGTAATAGATGTATTTGATGGAATTTCAATATAATTTTCTGAATCGCTTTCTATGGGTGGAGGGGGAAGTGATCTTCTAGCATTTTGAGGAACATCATAATTATCCTCCACGTTTGCATACAGGTTGCTGCGTCCATTTACTTTTGAGTTTTTCTTTAATTTTTTCTTTACAAAAGATTGAGCAGCTTTCTTAATATTTTTTAAAACTCCTGAAAAACTTTTTTTCAAGATGGGTACTTCATAAATGTTAGACACTGATCCGTATGGCTCCACATAATTTATACCATCGTAAACCTGTTCGATCAAAGAGGTATTACCATTGGACTGCTCAAACAGCAGATTATATGGGTTTACTCTTTCCAAAGAAGCTTGCATTACTTTTTCATATTCAAAAGGGTTTAAAACCGAATCAGCCAGGAAAGTTTCATTTGCAAAAATAATGGAATGTCTTGTTTCATTGTGTGCTGTAGACTCATAGTCATGATTTGAAAAATCAATCTCTGACGGATTTAAGATTGTAGGGTCTATGAAGTTTTCTTTAACATACACGCTAGTTTCTGAATAAATCGCACTAGTTGAAGGTTCAGATGCGTTTAAAATACTCTCGTGTAGAACACAATTTGACTTATGTTGTAGATCACTCATTTGTTGCTTTAGAAGTTTCAAACAGCTGAAATGTAATAGTATTTAATTAGTATAGAAATGTTCAAATATAATGTGATTTAGTTACATACGGATCATATTCAAATGTTTTTACGTAAAATTAACTTTACATTTTTACTTTCAACATCAAACTTAACAAATTGAAATTTTACAAATCTCGATGTTTTACAGTATATTTTATTGGGCCTTCCTAGCATGATGGAAGACCGGAACAGGAAGTAACAATAGATAAATACAAGGGACATCACTCAATAACAACATTATAAATATAACTTATACAAGAAGAGTGAGTTCCCCTGACCTCACAAATCTCAATATATTACATCTCTTTACCCTTAGTAAACACAACACATCTCTCAATCGAACAATCGACAGTATCTTAAAATCACCAATTATATTGTAACATGAACACTATGGTAGATTACATCCTTACAAACAATGCACAATATGTTACAACATAATTAAAATACAAAACAATGATTTCAAAGTCCTTTTGACCTTTAAAATCATAGGTCTAACTTATTTGGGACTTTGATTGTCCTGTTTGACCTTCTCAGTGGCTTTTGATTTGGTGACTCAAGATTCTGACCATATGGATTCTCTATCTCAGGAGGTCTAGGATTTAAATCATTAACTCCAGAATTTACATTTTCTGACTCCAGACAACTTGGTTCACTCATATCAACAGAACTTGGTTGTGGGACAAACTGAGTTGGTGTGAACTGTTCAGATTTGGTGGGATTGACAGATTCACACTTATTATCTGCACAAGTTATTTTTAACTGGTCTGCATGTCTACGGACAATAAGTCCATCATTTGTTTTTACTTTATAAGACACAGGTCCTGTACATTGAACAATTTGACCTGGTATCCATTTTTCCTTTCTCCCATAATTTCTTAGATACACATTCTCATTAACACCAAATTCTCTTTCAATGCATGTTTTGTCATGATTTAATGGAACTATTTTTGAATTGGCATCTGGAAGTATTATGCTGTTATTCAGATCCTTGACTGACATAGATTTCTTTGATTGATCAATTTTCTCAGGTAATCTGATAGTGCTTTCCTGGTAACCAAAAATACTGTTTAAAAGTACTATCCTGGACCATATTAATTTGCAACTGTGATCCAGTATTTGAAGTGGTGTATTAAATGGCAAAAATCTTTTTTTCTTTTGATGTTACCCTTTTAGTTTCTGTAAGTGCTAATGATGTTAGCAAAGTTGTTTGATGATCACATTTCTTCTTATTTAAAGCATTTGAAATTGCCATATCACCATAATCATTTATTAAGTTACAAATACTTTGTTTAGGCAACTCTGCCTGATAATGGACTGCATCTTCTCCATCTTTTATATTATCTTCACAAAGGTTTTTATTTCTTATTTTATATGGCTTTTGTTTTCTCAGGTTGAGGTCTGATACCTTGCTTGCTTAATATATAACCAAGAAAACTAATTTCTGTCAGCATGAATTGACATTTATCTTTGTTTATCTTTAAACCTTTTTCACCAACTATTTTCAAGACTTTATCAAGTGTTTTAAGATGTTCAGTGTCATTCTTACCAGTTATGTACACATTGTCAAAGTAAACACAAACATTTGGAATATCCTTAAAAATACTGTCCATGACAGCTTGGAAAATTCCAGGGCTAGATGATATGCCAAAACATAGTCTTTCATATTGGTAGAGTCCTTTATGTGTGTTTATTGTCGTATAGACTTTTGAATCTGGATGCAGTTCTAGTTGAGTGTAAGCATGACTAAAGTCTAATTCAGTGAATTTGTCTCCTCCTGCCAAATTCAAAGAAATTTCTTCAATGTTAGGAATAGGGTACCTATTTAGCTCTATTTGCTTATTCAGTGTAGCTTTATAGTCTCCACAAATTCTTACAGAACCATCCTTCTTTAACACTGGCACAATGGGCGTTGCCCAATCGGAATAGTCTACCTTCTTTATGATGCCATTAGATTCCAATCTACTTAGCTCATTTTCAATTTTATTCCTCATTGCATAAGGTGGAACTCTAGCTTTGCAGTATCTTGGATTTGTGTCTTTAATGCTTATCTTCACTGTTCTATCATTTAGTAATCCAGGATTACCAAAAACACATTTATTTTCAGATATAACTTTATCTATTGAAGTAAGACTAGATTCTCTTGCATTGTTCAATGAACATTTACTCTCCCAATTTAACTTAAGATCACTTAACCAGTTCCTACCTAGTAATGGTGGTCCATTTCCTTCAACCACAAGAAGAGGAAGTTTAACACTTTGACCATTATAACTTACATGAACCATACACTCTCCTATCACCGGAACATTGTCACCAGTGTATGTTGTTAGACACTTGTGACATGGTTGTAGAGGCACTGATCCTTCTGTGACAGCGTCAAAGTCCTTCTTTGTGATGACTGTTAGAGATGCTCCAGTGTCAAGTTGGAAGCTGATGCTCTTACCGTTGATATAAACTAGTACATTGATGGGAGCATGACTTATTGATTTCACAGAGAATAGGTTGAAATCCGGCTGCGAATCAGTTTGAGCATTTTCACAGGTAGAGTGGTTCATTGGTTGGGTTAGGTAGTCTTGGTGAGAGTTAACATAGTGCTGCCTTTGGTTGCGGTACTGTCTTGACTGGCTAGATTTAGCAACAGACGAAGACTTTGCAAAGCAGGCCTTGGCAATGTGACCTTCCCTACTGCACTTATAAAAAGTTGCTGATTTGAACTTGCATTGATGAGATGCATGGGGACCTTTGCATCGATGACATTTTTGATAATTATTACTAGATTTAGATCTAGGCTTTGAACGTGCAGGCTGTTTAGCATAAGTTGAAATGCTCTGATGGGGTTGGTGTTTGTTGACTAACCTGCTGTTTACTGCATGGATCTCTGAAGGCGTTAGAGATTTCGCCGCCTCGGATGACTGCTGGAATGAAGCTGCTAGTTGTATTGCTTTTTCCAATGTGAGATCTGACTCGAGAAGCAACTTTCTTTGAACATCAGCGCTGTTTACACCTGTCACAAACTTTTCACATAGTCTGTCAGACAGCGTGTCTCAGAATTCACAAAATTCACTTAGATGACGTAAAGCAGCAACATATTCTGATATTGACTCGTTTGGTTGACGAGTCCTACCGTCAAATCTAGCTCTACATAGAAACTTTGATGGGGTAGGCGCATGGTGGTCTGTTAGCAATTTGCTCAGCTCGTTAAAGCTCTTGGTAGTTAGACTAGCTGGTGCGCATAAGTCCTTTAGTAGCCTAAATTGTTGAGGCCCTATGACTGTTAACAAAACAGCTCTCTTTTTGGCTTCTATCGTCACGTTGTTTGCTTCAAGGTAAAAGCTTAACCTATCTAGATAATCATGAATGATTTCATCATTCGAATCAAATTCTTTTATTTGGCCATACAGCGCCATTATTCTAGAAATACTTAGCCAATATGCTCTAGCAAACCTCTTTTTGAGTAAGTAGGTGCTCTTTCTAGTGGATCATTTATCCTTGTCGCCAATTGAGGTAGATTGGAGTGGTTCTATTATAACACACTGACGAGAAGCCATACTGTTTGTATATAGATTTTATTGGGCCTTCGGCTACATGATGGAAGACCGGAACAGGAAGTAACAATAGATAAATACAAGGGACATCACTCAATAACAACATTATAAATATAACTTATACAAGAAGAGTGAGTTCCCCTGACCTCACAAATCCCAATTACAATTTCTTTATATTCTAAAATCGGAAGATGACATCATTAGTTGTGTGTACTTTTCTTAGTGTCATTGAAAATCGCGTTCTTGTCACAACTATAAACACTTTTCCGATTGCATAATTAAAATTGTTTTTCTACATTTCAATAAGCGTTTATTTTTTATCTTTCTTCTTTAAATAACATTTTGTTTATACATCTAAAACAACTACTATATTATTTTCAACAAAAGTTCGTATCAAGTTCTCCATATATCGCTGAAGATACTGATGTAATACCCTGTGAAAATATTTTGCGGACAGAGAGAGAGATGGAGAGAGAGAGAGAGAGAGAGAGAGAGAGAGAGAGAGAGAGAGAGAGAGAGAGAGAGAAGTGCGCACATGGGCTTTTATATATTAGGATAAGAATATACATGAAAGTGTAGGGGAGATCACTCTCTCTTTATTATTGCATGTATTTTTAGGTCATTTACTTACCCTATAAAGTAATTTATTTTAGGTCTTTTTGTGGGGTCACATAATATGCAATTTTGAAAAAGGTCTACTAGTATTTTAGGTAGGTCTATCAATGAGGAAACACTTCTTGTGACATTTGTGTTATCTATCCAGTTCTGAAATAAAAAAAAACTGTAAGGAGAATGGCTTGGTTTAATAGAATGGAGCTAATACTGGAATCAAATACTGGAGTTAAATTTTGTAGTTGAATTATATAGGCAAATACTGGAGTTAAATACAAAAGTTTAATACTGGAGTTAAATACTGGGGTAAAATACTGGAGCTAAATACTGGAGCTAAATAGTAAAGTTAAACACGGTAGTTAAACGCTGGAGTTAAATGTCGGAGCTAAATACTGGAGCTAAATAAGGGAATTAAACACTGGAGTTAAACATTGTAGCTGAATACTATAGGTAAATACTTGAGCTAATTACTGGAGTTAAATACTGGAGCTAAACAACGGAGTTGAACACAGGAGCTGAATACTGCAGTTTATTGTACTACAATAAATATGATGTCTTTAATTGGAAATCACTTTTAAGCAACCATTCAATTATTATGTAGTTGTAGTGTTAACATTGCAAAACTAAAAGTGTTTACAATTAAAAATGTTACTTGTGTTTGCTCTTTCTTCGCTATTTCCGTACAGCGGTGGTAGAGCTGGAAACAAAATTGTCCCAACGAATATATATCACTTTCTTTGGTAAATCTTTTACTTTCAGTCACTTCAGGTGCATACCTGTGTAAAAACATAAAATGCATAAAATTTCTGTCATCTTCAGATTCGCATAAACGAGTCCCTGTAGAACATGTCTGCTAGTAAAACACATGTATTTAAAATATAATCAAGTTGAATGAAAATGTAATACTTTACCTTTGAACTTCTAACTATTTGTAAAGGCAAGTATAACCTTATTTAAAAAATGATATAACTATGTTGTTACCTTTCTGAAGAGTTACTATCATCATACAAAACATCAAACATCGTACTTGCAACGCCACCATTTGGTATGGCACTGAAGTAAGCTAAAGAAACTGGGTGGACCTATTTAAAGCATTAAGAAGACAAATTATATTCACTATTACATTATTCTATATACCAACATAGAGCTCATATAGAGCTTATAGCAAAGATTTGTTTATTATATAGCCTTATATATATATAATTATATATATATATAATTATATATATATATATATATATATATATATATATATATATATATATATATATATAATTATATATATATATATATATATATATATATAATTATATATATATATATATATATATATATATATATATATATATATATATATATACATAATTATCTTAAGTGGAATTAAAAACTTTTTCGATTTTTTAAAAATATTGCACATAATATTGCAAATAATTACCATTATGCCGTCTCTCGATTGTGAAATAAAGATATTTGAGACTTCTAATACCCCAATAACACATGCATTATCGTGTATCGTTTTCAACATATTGGCAACCTCTTTAACTATTTCAACATAGGCGGAAATCGACCCATCAATATCTTTTTTCTCTAAAAGATCATCGAGGCTATGTTTACATGATGAAGGCAGATGAATGTCCTGTCAAAAAAATTGCAAAATAAATCTTAGTAAATACATAGGCACACACACATCAAGATAATATTCTTAAGGTTTTTAAATCGAATAGGAAATTGCGTAAAATTCTACTTTCGAAAATCGGAAATCAATCAAAATTTAAAATGAACTGGAACTGGTGAATAAGATTTTATTTTAATGTTTGAAATTTCTTCAAGATAACAGAAAAAGGTACAAAAATTATCGGTGTTTTAGAAACCAGAAATAGAGTTATGTACTACATAGTTATGTACCATTCCGAAGTGCGCTATAAAATTAAAAGTATAAGCTCTTTTTCTTGTATATGAAATTTCTTCTACCTAATCGAAACAGAATTTAAGATTTCGTATTCCCACTAAAGTAAAGTATTACTTCTGGCTAACGGAAATCATTCAAATAAGGAAAGAAATTTACAATACAATAAATTACTTATAGGTGAGAATGTGTCCGTCTAAATAAAACAGTACTCAATTTAAGTAATTAGAAGTAGTGTAAGAAACACCCCCGTTTACCTGAAATCGCTCAAAAGTCTATAGAAAACTAAAAAATTGATAAAATACTTATATATTTTGACACCCGTCAAATATAGAATCGGATGTGCTACCCACCATTAGAGCCTACAAAAGCTGCAGACTTTATAGGATTGTTGTGTTTCTTCAATTGCTCTACAATAAATGCACATTAATTGATACATCGCTGACTGCACCAGTCTAAAACATGTTTCGAAGGGAAAATTTGTTTTTCCTTTCGGAGGATTTAAATTTTCTGTTATTTATTAAATGAAATACTTACAATGAATTCATCTTTTCCATCTGTGATTACAAATACATAAACTTGTGGCAAAATTTTCCTCATGCTGTCACTCTTAATTGTTTTAAGCGTACAAGAAGATATGCGATGGTTCATCTTCTGTCTTACAAATACGTTCTTATTCTACAACAAAGAAGAACTTTCACATACTTAAATTAATTTTCAAAGAAACATCACAATAGTTAGGTTCTATCCATATATTCTTCTTAATTGTTATAACATTTAACTTTAAAAATTGATTATTTCAACGCTCCAAACGCAGTCAGTATGCTGTATATTGCAGAAAATTAACGTTCAAAACAATATTAGGGGCTTGCATTTGAATGATTTGTTTTAGACATTTTAATTTAAGCATATGATTTCATTTACATTCAAGTCATAAATGTTATAAGAATACATAATATAAACTTGCTCGCTAGTGATTTTTAATTAAGTCTCATTTTTACCATCTATTTCACTGATACTATGTAAAACACTATAAAAAATCACTTAAATTTAACTTATACTCTGCGAAACAATGTAAATTAACTTAACATTTAACTGATACTATGTGAAAGAATGTAAATGAACTTAAAATTCAACTGATACTAAGTGATACAATGTAAATTAACTTATTATTTAACGTATACTATGTGAAAGAATGTAAATGAACTTAAAATTCAACTGATACTAAGTGAAACAATGTAAATTAACTTATTATTTAACGTATACTGGCCCCAGCCCACCCCACTCAGGGAAAAATTATATGGGGCACTTGACAAACTGGAGACCACAGTCCGGTTTGTCCACGAAGTTGGACTTGTTGTCTGAATCCTCCACCATATTCAAAATTAAGAACGAAGAAGAAGAAGAAGAAGAACGTATACTATGTGAAAAAATGTAAAATTCAACTGATACTAAGTGAAACAATGTAAATTAACTTATTATTTAACGTATACTATGTGAAATAATGTAAACGAAGTTAACATTAAACTGATACAATGTGAAACGATGTTGTAGCCTTGATCTTCAACGACACAGTCCCTTGTTAAATACTGTTGTCTGAGTTAAAACACAAAACAACAGCCATGAAGTAACTTAGGGTGATTTAAATTGCACTGATTTTTCTGTGCAAAGATAGCAATTTGTCATGGTTCCCAAACAAAATTAACGCATTCTATAGCAAAATCTATCTTAAATGTCTTAAAACTTACCATTGTAAACAACCACATGTTATTACTCATTTCTTTTAGCAGTTCGATTTGAAATGGCTTAACATAATCTGAAAAAGGTTATACAAATCTTTACTTTGGAATACTAAAACCAAGGTATGTCAGAGGTCTAGACACGAGTTAAAGCCCTACACCCCCATAGAACACCCCCTCCAACGCCAATTTTATTACAATAAAATAAAGCTATTAGCTAATACCTGCTAATGGAACTATTTATTTTAGAATTGTGAATGTCATATAACAAAATAATTTAGATCCTAATAGTCTTGATGTGCAGATGCATGCTATTTAGTAAAAAGATGTTTTAATCAGAGTTAAAATTATACGTTAAATGTAACAAGAAGTATTAATTTCTTTTATAATTATTTAATACTCACTTTTGAGTTGTAGCGTTCCCTGAAAAAAAAGTAGTAAAAACAGTGTTTTTGTTTTATATTAAAGATCTCTTAACAAAAGAAAATCTATATATATAAAGCAATGTGGTCAAGTGCCCTACAGGGCACTTCCCGGCGCCGCAGGCGCGTCAAATTTGGCACGATGGTGCCTTGGGCGATAGAACACAAGTGCCGGTGACGGTTGGCCGAAAAGTCGACGGAGAGGGGGTCAAAACTGACCTCGACTGACCGGCTCCTTATATGGGCTATATTACGAAAACAATTTTCCCCGTGAAATTTTGTGAGGTAGTAGGAGAATGCCTTGGGGTGTCACAAAAATCTCGCCATGTCCGTGAAAATTCGGTAAATGGGTCAAAACTGACCAGCGTCTTTGTATTTTATGGGAAAAACAGAGGGTGATTTCAAAACGGATTTTAGGGCACTTACCGTCTTTACATCTGTCTAATTTTTTGCATGCTCTTATGTAAATGGCTTGACCTTTAGGGAAAACTGTCGGTTTCACTCAAAGCCTTCGTTGAGGGCTAAAAAGTGACCGCGAGTGAAATTCTCTTTATATGAGCTCTATTACGAATTTTTTTTTCTCCAACGACCCCCCTTGAAATTTTGTGAGGTAGCAGGAGAACACCTAGGGATATCACAAAAAACTCGGCATATCTGGGAAAACTTAGTAAATGGGTCAAAACTGGAGGGTAAAAAAAAAACTTTATTCCCGTCGGAAAAAGCCATTGTAGTCGTTAAATATGTTCATATATCGTATTTTCTTATATAAGCATAGTATCTGTTTGTTTAAATTGTAAACAAAGACATACGTCATTCGGTCCATTTTCAAGGGAGGTAACCTTTTTAAATAATTATTTTTCAAATAATTGTATACTATTTTAAACAGAAAAAGAAAACGACAAAGTATATCATTCGTTATAGAAAAATAAGTTGTTAATTATGCTACGTATCATAATTAAATATTAATTTTAAAAATCAATATAATATAAATTATGAGATATACTGTTCATGAAAACTCTGTAGTGCTAATTCCATTTTATTTATAAATTGCGTACTTTCAAACAACCTGCTTCTCACTCTTATTTTGTAACATATAAGTGTGTTGAGAGGGGGGGGGGGCTAGCTGACATTACTGCATATATCATGCATGTTTATATGTATGTATGTATGTATGTATGTATGTATGTATGTATGTATGTATGTATGTATGTATGTATGTATGTTTGCATGTATGTATGTTTGTGTGTGTGTGTGTGTGTGTATATATATATATATACATATATATATATACATACATATATATATATATATATATACATATATATATATATACATATATATATATATACAGATATATATATATATATACATATTATATATATATATATATATATTTATATATGTATATATATATATATATATATATATATATATATATATATATGTATGTTTATATATATATATATATATATATATATATATATATATATATATATATATATATATATATATATATTATATATATATGTATGTATATATATATATATATATATTTATATATATATATATATATATATAGTATCTATTATGTTTACAACACTGAGAACTGACCACGGATCTTAGTAGAAGACACATAATTGTTCTTTAGAGCTGATATTGAACAACAAATATTCTCTTCTTGTTTGGTCTAGTAACTAGACTCTAGTTAATTGTGAACAAACGGAAAGGGGAAAATATTGTGGTAATTGTTTTTTACTTTCTCGTATATACGAAGTATAGAGAAAGTCTTGTAATTGTGCAAAAAAAAAGAGATTTTTACAAATCTCGACGTTTTACACCTCACTGATACGGAAAAACATAATTTTGCAATCTTGTCCGTATGTCTGTGTGTCTGTGTGTGTGACTGTGTGTCTCTGTGTCTCTGTGTGAGCACGATAACTTGAGTACCGTTATAGCTAAGTTGATGAAATTTCATATATAATTATTTTATCGAAATCGTAGATCCATGTCAACTTTTGAGCGATTTCCGATCAACGAAAGTGGTACTTTTTCTACTTTGAATTTTTCAAAAGCCTATAACTTGAGTACTATTTTAGATAGATAAATGAAATTTCACATGTAAGTAAAATATCTAATTCTCGACCTTCTGTCAAATTTTGAGTAATTTACGCTATTTCCGATTTCTCAAAAAAACGCATGTAAATTTATAAAGTACTAATAATATTGCGCTCCAAGACTATTATGCACATCATTATTTTGCGTTCACTTGGTGCGAAATTCTTTTTTCTACAATATTTTATTCTATTTTAAAAAGTGTAAGTATTTGAAATGAATTAAAAATTATGACTATATCCCGAGTTCCCATCCCCTGATGTTTTATATAAGAATATTCGAGAAAGTTTAGAGGAGATCACTCCCGGTTTATTTAAACTAATGTGTCATTTATTTTTATATCTCTACAATATCCAAATTCTAAAAAGCAGAAAATAAAAGAAGCACTAAAACTTTTTAAAAATGCAAGTTTTTTAAGTTCACAAAATGTAGATAGGAATTTACAGTGTAGTCTAACCAGAGGCGTAGCGATGGGGGGGGGGGGGGCAGGGGGGTACATATGTCCCCGGGGGCGCCAAAATGGGTTGTAAAAACAAATTATAATGTCATTTTAGCTGCAGTTTGAGGGGGGTGCAAATCGAAAGTTTGATGGGGGGGGGGGGGGGGGGGGGTTTGCAAATTGAAAATTTCCACCCGATGGGGGCGCCAAATTGAAAGTTTGTCCCCTGACGCCGGGAAGGGTCGCTACGCCTCTGAGTCTAACATATAGGAGGTAAAGAGCACAAATCGTGTTGATGTTTTAATCGGCTCTATTATTTTGTTTAATTATGGCAACCCACCTTTTTGTATCCAAGAGATGGCATGTATTTTTCATCATTTAAATCTGGGAAACTGACCCTTGCCGTAGCATTGTTTTCACCTTCTGCATTAAAAATAGATTCAATAGAGTTCACACATCGTTATCAAGCGTCTGACTGATTTCTTTAAATATGCTATTAAAATCTGCTTGGGTGTAGATATGTCCGGTTATTTGAAAGAAATAAGAAAATAAGTCACATATGGTCGGACGGCTTGGCCTAGCGGTAAAGAGCTAGACTGCTAAACTAGAAGTCTTGAGTTCTAATCCCTGAGTTGACCCACCCCTGATGGGTACCTTACTCACGTTAGGGACAATACGGCGGCTGGTCATATTCGGACCACACTATCCCTTCATATGCCGAGCTAATCTGCCCCATGTGTTTTCGACACGAACGCGAAAAAGATAGGTAAGTCAACAATTAATAAAAGTTAAAACATAATAAACTGTTGTATTTTTTTGCTAATATGATAAGTGTAAAGAATAGAAAGACAAAAAAATACCAAGTTCTAAGATGCCGTAGTATAGTATTAAATCTGTAGGTGTAACGACTTTTAAATTAAAACATAATCTTACATATTCCTTACCTTTAGAAATGTTTATTGCATAAGCCTTAATGAAAACACGGGGACTGACGAAAATAAAGTTATCTAGCATTAAAAAATTGCATAGCTTACCAAGCAAGATACGACTGTGCTCAGAGATAATCTCCGCTAGACTTGCTCTTTCATCCGGATTTTTTTGAGTACATTTTCTGATGAGCGCATTGCTGGAGTCATCTATACAACTTTCTTGAGATGTTGATAAATCATTTTCTCTAAGCTAAGATTTTAATTAAAAATATTCAAAGCTTAACATATTTTAACATTTTTTAAAGTTAAGTAGCCTGTTATAAATCTTATCTTATTATTTGTAACTGCTAAAAAAAAAACTCTAATGGCTATATTAATGTTTGTTAAAGAGCCATGAAATATTGCGATTAATATTACTCGTAGGCACTTAAAATGATTGACCAACTAATGTGAAATGTATAATCTTCTAAAACCACTGACTTTTTCTATAAAAGTTTCATCATCAGCACACTCAACAGAATATGGTAAGACACCATGAGTTTTAATCTCTACAAAAAGGATCCCTATCATATATACGTCTGAATTGTATGAGACTTTACGTTCAAATATGGTTTCTGGAGGGCTCCATCTTAAGGGAATAAGTTGTTCTGCGTCTGATTTGTCTATAAAATTGAAATTTTTATAAAATTAGTTTCATGTCTAAAGAAAACTGACATAGATAGATCTAGATAGCTTTAATATAACGTGAACGAAAATATTCATCCATCCTTACACGCATCAATCAATCGAATTGTCAATGCGTCTATCCGTCCATGAGTCCATCCGTCCGTCCGTCCCTCCATATATCCATCTGTCTATCCATCTATCAACAATCCATATGTATGTATATATATATATATATATATATATATATATATATATATATATATATATATATATATATATATATATATATATATATATATATATATAAACGAGAAAAATTTTTCCAGTTAACATTGCCCTAATGTGAAATCGCTCGTATCTCATAGCGATTTTCTGCATTGAAATTAATTGAAATTCCGTTAATCCACCCCCCTACAAAATTTTAACTCAGATGTTTTTGTGACGTAGTTAAAAAGAAAAAAAATGTGTGTTTATACATGGCAAATATTATTTAATTACATCCTAATATATTAATGCCCGTGTGCGCACATCTCTCTCTCTCTCTCTCTCTCTCTCTCAGTCTGCTACATATTTTCCGAAGCTATTAGATCAGAAATGTCAGCAATATATGAGAACTTAAAAATACGGACTTTTGCTGAAAATAGTATGTTGGATATACTAAATGTATAAACTAATTTTTGTTTAAAGAAGGAAAGTAAAATTAAAGGGATATTCGAATGTCGAAACACATTTTTAATTATATGACGTCACATAAAACATGTAGAAAAATATCCTTATGAAACAACTAGCCGTCCCGGCCAGGCCCTGCTCTGGCTTCTGTGAAAAACCTTTCTGTTAAAGACCATTACCTGTGTGTTTAGTAATCATCATAAACCCGGCATTGCACACCCAAACCAAAACCAAAACAACAAAACGCAAACATAACGCTAACACAATTACAAATACAAACGAAAACAAAAACCTAACAACTAACCCAACCACAAACACCAATACGAACACAAAGAAAAACAAACGAAAAAGCAAACGAAAACAAACCAAATCCGAATGCAAAACCAACCACAAACCCAAAGAAAAAAACACAAACGAAAAAACAAACGAAACCAAACCAAATACAAACGCAAAACCAACCACAAACACAAATACAAACACAAACGCAAAGAAGATAAAACACAAACGAAAACGAAAAAAGAAAGAACAAAAACGAACCAAATCAAAACGCAACCACTAACGCAAACCCAACCTAAACACAAAGAAAACACTAACGCGAACATAAACGCACAGTGCTCAGAGTCTAGCCCGGGGCGGAATCGCCTGTTTCAGCCTAATAAACGACTATAGTACCCCAACTTATTCATAGTCTTTTGCACTCACTTTAATGAACGTAGGCGCGAAACCGAACACGGGAGGCCCGGGACCCCAAATAGCACCCTGTCTGGGCGCCAGAGGACGCACCATGACGTCACCGCCTGATTGAACTTAGTAAACGACTATAGTACATGACTTATTCATAGTCTTTTGAACTCACGCAAACGTATATACCATAGCGTACACCGGAAGGCCCGGGGCGCCAAATAGCACCCTGTCGGGGTGCCGGAGGACGCCCGGATTTGATTCACTTAAAGACTATAGTAACCTTTCTTACCCATAGTCTATCGCACTGTTAAAAACAAAATTATGCAGCATAGCGCTCACATGATAGCCCAGGGTGCCAAATCGAACCGTGCAAGGGCGCCGGCGGACGCGCCTGTTTCAATTTAGTGAACAAAAATGATAATACTCCAAGCTTATCCGTAAATGGAAAGAAATAAACATATAGGATTTGTAGGACCTGGCTTATTAAATGTTATTGATTTAAAAAAAAAAATATTGAACAGTATGTTCAGTGTATAGAATAAATAAAAGGCAGTGTTAAAAATACCTAACGACATTGCACTTAATCAATCCCCGCTAATTATGTAATTATTTTTTTTTCTTAACACCAAAAACAAAGTAATAAAATGTAAATTCTTTTTTCTTAAGAATTTTTTTTATTAAAGGGAAATAACTGTGCAGTCAATACATTTCCGACACAATTTTAGAAATTTTATAAACGTCGATACACTTTTTAAAAATTTTATGTCGTGTTCATAATTAAAAATTATTTTTCTAAGTAAATAGAATGAAAATTGTTTTTAAAGACTTTCAATGGTAATTTTTTGTCTCGTACATTTAGACTATGAGCACGATAAAAAATCTAACACTTAAATCCATAGAATTGTCAACGACAAACTTTTTTGCCACACGTTACAGAACTGAGCTTTATATATTAGACTAGCCGTCCCGGCCAGGCCCTGCTCTGGCTTCTGTGAAAAACCTTGCTGTTAAAGACCATTACCTGTGTGTTTAGTAATCATCATAAACCCGGCATTGCACACCCAAACCAAAACCAAAACAACAAAACGCAAACATAACGCTAACACAATTACAAATACAAACGAAAACAAAAACCTAACAACTAACCCAACCACAACCACAAACACCAATACGAACACAAAGAAAAAAACAAACGAAAAAGCAAACGAAAACAAACCAAATCCAAATGCAAAACCAATCCACAAACCCAAAGAAAAAAACACAAACGAAAAAACAAACGAAAACAAACCAAATCCAAACGCAAAACCAACCACAAACACAAATACAAACACAAACGCAAAGAAAATAAAACACAAACGAAAACGAAAAAAGAAAGAACAAAAACGAACCAAATCAAAACGCAACCACTAACGCAAACCCAACCTAAACACAAAGAAAACACTAACGCGAACATAAACGCACAGTGCTCAGAGTCTAGCCCGGGGCGGAATCGCCTGTTTCAGCTTAATAAACGACTATAGTACCCCAACTTATTCATAGTCTTTTGCACTCACTTTAATGAACGTAGGCGCGAAACCGAACACGGGAGGCCCGGGACCCCAAATAGCACCCTGTCTGGGCGCCAGAGGACGCACCATGACGTCACCGCCTGATTGAACTTAGTAAACGACTATAGTACATAACTTATTCATAGTCTTTTGAACTCACGCGAACGTATATACCATAGCGTACACCGGAAGGCCCGGGGCGCCAAATAGCACCCTGTCGGGGTGCCGGAGGACGCCCGGATTTGATTCACTTAAAGACTATAGTAACCTTTCTTACCCATAGTCTATCGCACTGTTAAAAACAAAACTATGCAGCATAGCGCTCACATGATAGCCCAGGGTGCCAAATCGAACCGTGCAAGGGCGCCGGCGGACGCGCCTGTTTCAATTTAGTGAACAAAAATGATAATACTCCAAGCTTATCCGTAAATGGAAAGAAATAAACGTATAGGATTTGTAGGACCTGGCTTATTAAATGTTATTGATTTAAAAAAAATAATAATTATTGAACAGTATGTTCAGTGTATAGAATAAATAAAAGGCAGTGTTAAAAATACCTAACGACATTGCACTTAATCAATCCCTGCTAATTATGTAATTATTTTTTTTTCTTAACACCAAAAACAAAGTAATAAAATGTAAATTCTTTCTTCTTAAGAATTTTTTTTTTATTAAAGGGAAGTAACTGTGCAGTCAATACATTTCCGACACAATTTTAGAAATTTTATAAACGTCGATACACTTTTTAAAAATTTTATGTCGCGTTCATAATTGAGAATTATTCTTCTAAGTAAATAGAATGAAAATTGTTTTTAAAGACTTTCAATGGTAATTTTTTGACTCGTAAATTCAGACTGTGAGCACGATAAAAAAATCTAACACTTAAATCCATAGAATTGTCAACGACAAACTTTTCTGCCACACGTTACAGAACTGAGCTTTATATATTAGATGTTAATAATTGAAGGATAAAAAGTAGAATTGAAAATCGAATGTTGAAAATGATACACAATATTAATGACGTTATCTTCAAAAAGATTCGCTTCGCACAGCTTCCAATTTAGAATATGAATAAATAAACTATTCCATTAAATTTTGATTTAGATCTATAGATAAACTTATTTAATATAACTTTTTGTTGGCTAATAATGTATACTAGGCATGCTGCCCAGCTTCGCTTAGGCTTTCGAAAACATTGAGAATTTGAATGCTTAATTAATTCGCCCGAAGGTCGGTCTACGTCCTCAAGAGTTATGAAGAGGTTCCTCCGTGGACATTTTTTTTTCGATTTATAGCTCATATAAGGTACCGGTCAGTCGAGGTCAGTTTTGACCCCCACATCGTAGACTTTTCGGCCAACCGGCCCCCGTGTTCTGTCGCACCAAGGCAAGATCATGCCAAATTTGAAGCGCCTGCGGCGCCGGGAAGTGCCCTATCGGACACCCGACAATCTAGATCTAGATCTAGATTCCTAAAAGAATTTTTTTTTTAAGTTTAGCCCGAGCATAATAAAAAAGAATACATTAACCAAGTTGACTTGCTGTGTCTCGAACCCGCACCACCTGCGTGGTTTAATGTACACTAACATCTCCGCTATTTAGGCACCTTATAAAATACGGAGAATGAAACACGTATTTTAAAATCTTAACTTACGCGAATATGCCTATTCTTTCAAATTAATTTTTTATCCCAAATTAGCCAGTTCCAAACAAAGATTTTGTATAAAATAAATAAGTCTTGAAATAGTTTAGTCCTAATATAGAAATTTATTTTTGGAATTGATTTTAGAGAAGTCAGAGTCTAAATCTAGATCTTAGCGTCTACGTCTAGATCTAGTTATTGCGTAGATTTAGATTTAGATTTAGTCTAGATCTAGAATCTCTAGATCTAGAATCCAAATACATAAAATAAATTTTATGAGTTTAGGCCGGAAAAATTGTATTGTATACATTTCATAGTGTACGTAGATCTAAATCAAATTTGAATGAAATAGTTCATTTCTTT